TTTGAACTTTACAACCTGTCATAACTTTTTTATATTTGAATTGAGGACTTAGCATTTATTAATAAAGTTATAGAGCTACTCAATAGCTTTAAAATGACACCAAAATCATCTCTGTAGGTGCCACGCTTTTCGAGATATGGTCGGTTAAACACGCAAGGTATCGCTAATTAGCCAAAAGTTCGTTAGCAGATATCTCGCTAATTAGGAGGCCTAGAGAAAAAAATTTTCATTTCTGATCGTTTCTCATGGGTCTCAACAACATACAAAAATTTGAACAAAATCCGAGAGATTGAGGTTTTTTTTTGGTTGATTTGACATGGAATTACCCTAATGTTATTCATTTACCTTGATATAAATAAATATTTTGTAAGTCTGTTTACATAAATTTACAAATATTTTAATTACTTCAGGTGAATGTATTTCAAGATTTACAAACAATAAAGTTCCTTATTGTGTGAAGTTTAACCCAGATGAAGACAAACAACACATCTTTGTAGCAGGCATGGCAGACAAGAAAATTGTACAGGTATTTGATTTATTTATTTTGTTAATATTTTTATTAATTAGGACTTTGATCATCAATTTTGATATAGTATTAGTTTATCTGTTTGTTTATTGTTTGAAATTGGCTAAACAGGCCTTTAATATCCCAATAATACATTTTAGGATGATTACTTTACAGTAAAAATTCCCAAATGCAATTTGGCAATTTCTTGCCCAGTGCGGACATATTTCATTTTTATGTCTTTGATAAAATAACAAGCATTACTTTTTTGCTATTTCCTAATGCCAATTATTTATCCAAACCAAGTCATAAACCCAGTATTTAGCCATTACAGTTTCCATTTTATGAAGATAAAATGTAGTACAATGAAAGATCAATTAATAAAAATAGAAAATAGAAATTAATACATTATTAAAATTGAAATTTAGATATTCCTACAAGAAGATGATTGAAATTCATTAAACAGCATTAATTTTTTATGCAGACTATAAAACTTTCCAACATAATATATTGTTTTTTTATAAACAATACATATGAAATAAGAAATATATTCAGCCTGTTATGACCTAATTTAAACTATTTTAGAATTAGTCATGAATAACCAAAGTCAGTTCTATACAAGTATTTAAAAAAGTATTGAAAGAAAATTAGAAATCAATAAATGTAAAGTATACTTTACATTCATTGATTTGGAATTTTATATTCAACCTTCCTTTCAATACTTTTTTAAATGTATATTAATCTAAATTGGTAATAATTTTGTAGCATTTACTGTTTATTTTAATTCAAAAGTCTTTTTAATAAATTTTATTGCATGTTTATGCTGAGTAATTTTGCCAAGGTTAAAATTCAGTCTTTGATAATATTTTGTTGTTTATACCATGGAGGTAAGGAGATCATTCGAAATATTAACGCACATGCAGCGCTATGCAAATGAACCAAGAACAAAGCTGATTTTCAGTTTTACGCTGCCTTAGCATTTTAGTCAAACCAGTCAATTTTTGGCAAAATTATAATGAACACAGAAATAGTTATAACAGAAATATTTTGTGAAATCTGTTCATCAAATATACACATAATAACATACTAAAAGTCCGAAAAAATCCATTCAGGGGAACATTGTTAATTTTGAAGATATTTAATGAGTTAAAATCAAATGGTTTATCGGACAACTGCTGGGTTGAAGCATATAAAAGCATGTCGTTGCCAAACTGTTGCTAACAAAAAATTTTAATAATAAAGTAATACGCCCGCGCGCGAGCCAAAGGCGGGGAACATATTGGTTTGTCGCGTCAAGGAGAACTGTTGTAATACTCCATGTTTATGCCCATGCTTTTCAAACTATGAGTTGCGTTGCGTTGGTTCATGAGCAGGTTTTGCAGATGGTTAATTCATTTATTAACAACAGAAGAATTCCCCCCTCACCTCATGGCTGTTGTAGAAGAACATTTATCATAACATCTGATGGATATGTAGTTGTTGAAAACAAACAGTTACATGCATCCCATTCTCTACTACTTACTAAGACTTAGACTTAGAGACAATTGATGAATATTGCATAGTAAAACACTTTTTGTAGCCAAAATGAGTGTTAGCATTATTTTATATATCAGGTATTAAAGTGATTTAGCTGGTTTTTGATCAATTTGTATTATTGTTCCTGCTTTCTCATAATACCTTCACAGTGGGATACACGAGCAAACGAGATTGTGCAGGAGTATGACCGGCATCTTGGTGCTGTCAACACGATCACCTTCATTGACCAAAATCGACGTTTTGTGACGACGTCGGATGACAAAAGCATCCGGCTTTGGGAATGGGATATCCCGGTGGATTTCAAATACATTGCAGAACCAAATATGTACCCAATGCCTAGCGTAACACTCAGTCCCAATGGTAAGTTATAATGTTTTGTAACTTCTCTCAGCACCAGTCATAAGTAGGGTGGGAGAAGGAGGGGCTTAACCCATTGGATGTGGACAGAAGTTACCTGTCTGCCATGACTCTTTAAACTAGATTCCACTATAATATGGTGGTCCCCCAATAGGGCCCTCGACCCAGCACTTTGATCCAAAAAAATTTTGCTGGATACATATTATCTGTATTTGACATCTACTGTAGGACATATAATTTTGTTATTTTTTTTTTAACTTTAATAATACGACTATTTTTATAAATTAAATTATATATATTAAATTGTATATTCCCCTGTATTTTTGTATTTTACCTTGTATAAAATGTACACTGTAATTACTATTTCTATTTTACGTGGAATTTCAATTTATCTCATAATTTCAGAAAATTATTGTACTTTATATAATTATTATTTTTTTTTTATGTTAGGTCATATTTTCCCCCTGTATTTTTGTATTTCTACGTATTTAAATAAATTGCAATATATAGGCCTTTAATTATTATTTTTTTATATGGGATTTTAATTAATTTAATAATTTAGGGAAAAAATGGTTTTTACTTATTTGCAATCTTTTTATTTGTCATGTGTATTTATTTTTAACTTTACACTGTTTTTATTCTGAATGTATTGCTGCCGTTGTTTCTGTGTTTCCTCATGTTTTTTTTTTGATTGGTGGTTTCTGCCTTTTTTAAACTTTAATTTTTTTTTCAAAATTTTAATGAAGAATAAAGAATTTATTTATTATCGTATTTTATCCAGTGGCGGCTTTTGGCTCTGGGCCCTCTAAATTTGTCAAATAATTTTAAAAAATAGATAAAAAGAAATTTACAGTATATTCAAATTTTAAGTATGCAAGTTCCATATCTGGCCATCTAGAAGTGCCACAATCAAAAATGTTTTTTCTTCAGCCCCAACCATTATGGGGCTGAGGTGGTACAGACCCTCCATTTGTGAAAGTTCCTCCCTGTGCCCACTCTATTTCATATTCAAGTTGTATCTATATGTAGTTATTTATATGATCAATAAATCAACCTTGAGCCTTGAACCTGATCTGAAAATTGGTATGAATATTGGTATTGGCTTGTTTTATTTCATGTATGTAGGTAAGTGGTTAGGCTTCCAGTCAATGGACAACCAAATTCTAATATACGGTGCACAGAATCGATTGCGTCTGAACCGCAAGAAGAACTTCAAAGGTCACATGGTCGCAGGATATGCATGCCAGATGGGCTTCTCACCAGATATGAGGTAAAATAAAGTCATGGTAGATATTTATTGATATTTAAAGAAACGCAGAATGCTGGAGCTATCGCCGCTTAATTATTTTGATATTAGGTAATAGTGATGCAGGCTCCATAGGAAAACAATTTTTGTATATGTTGTAGAACTAATTTTTCTAAGACAGAAAAAATTTGATTCAAAAATCTGTGTCTTATTAACTGTTCACCAGTTTTTTGTCAACATTTTGTTGTCTAAAAAAGTCTGTTTTACAACATATTAAATTTTCCCCTTCAGGGCTTGGCTTTAAAAGATATAATTTAACACAAAGTTCCACTGGCATTTGATGCCAGCTTTTATTCAGACTGAAATGGCTGTACAACTACTTTCATCATTTTAAAATCAGTGTGATCACACCAACATCACCATGATCGTTATTCTCAAAGTTTTTATTTTTTTAACCATCTCTATTTATGGCCTAAAAAGTAGAAAATACACAAAAATACAAAAAAGATCTTTTTTAAATCTATTAAAGAGCAAAATGGTTGCATAATACTGTTGCATCACCTATTGTCCAGCAAGATTCCAACCATTTTAGGTCATTAAAAAATATTGTTTGTTATAGTCAAAGAAAACAAAAGAAACCTTTGGCTTAATCATCATCTCCATATTCAGCACATATTTATCATTGTTGTCTTCATTGTCATCATTATCATCGTTGTTGTCATCATCATCTGAAAAACATAACTGTGCTGATCAATTAATTTTTCTTTCTTTCTCTTTCTTTTTTTAACTTTCCAAAAGGGTTCCCATGTTACACAATTGTCATTGGAGTATGCCATATATTTGAGGTCAACTTCCACACACACTCATGAAAAACTTTCATAAACTTTATTCTCTACTGGTTGGATTGTGACCATAGATTTCCTAGGCCTACACTGCATAACCTAAGCCTAGTTTGTGCTGTGCTATACACAATCTTGAATCAATAATAATAATAAAAGGTTAAGTAGAACGTTTACCAGTTGTTAATTGGCAAGATAGCAAGTCCATGCCCTGGGAATTTTGTATGGATTTTCCCATCAAGAATTCCAGTGTCCCCGACGGAGACCGTTATCCCCCAATGAAAGCGTATGTGGCTGTGGTTGGACGTCACTTAAAATTTCTTGGTTTGTTTTTTTTTTTCGCAGTGGGATGGGATAACCCCTGACCTGGCCTCTTCTGTTTGTTTATTTACGGCAAAGAACGCATGAACTAAAAATTTGTAATGATGTAATAATGCGCTCCTCGGGTGTATTCATATGTTACATATTTACATCCCTCCTTTGGGACACTTCTATTAAGGGGGACACTTTTCCGTGAAACGAGGGGGGATATATCTTTTAACACTGCAGCCAACCCCTATTAAAGGGGTGGGGACACTTTCTGATTGTGCCTAATGGTCAAATAACCCCTATTAAGGGGACACTTTTTTTCTATTGTGTCACAACAAATATAACAGTCTCAAAATAAGAAAAAAATCACTAAACTTTAAATATTTAGAGCAACATATAAAGGAACTTTTACCACCTCTCTGCTGCTGTTTGTCAAGGGTGAGCTTTTGATTATCTGTGAAATATGTACAGGTGTATTATGATTCACACCACTTAAGTCAATAACAATGTCAAAATCCACACTATCCTATACCTTACACTTTTACACTGATTGTACTGTAGGCCCTACCAGAGAGATACTTTCCCAAGACTTTATAGTCTTCCACTTTATAGCGCCCGGGGCTATTTGGGGGCTCCTCAATAGGTCTAATGATCTAAAAATATAACTTTAAAAATAATAATAATAATGTCATCTTATTAGGCGCACGTATCCATCTCTCGGTAGAGCTGCTTGCAGCACCATTTTCCACCTGCAGAGTGTAGATGTAGCCTTTTTCTGCATTATTATTTTAATTAATTTTAATTTATTTATTTTTATTAAAGAAATTCCTATTTAAACTTTAAAAGGACTCTTAGTCTTAAATAATATTAGGTTTTAGAGGCTATAATTATTGATTATATTCATTACAATTTACCTATTACCTATTTTCCAAACGCTGCAAGTTACAAAAAAAACAAGCCATTATGTTTATGTACTAAAAAAATTTTGAATTCATCGAGCAATTAAATATCGTCACACACGTTTTTGTTTGTGGTATTTTAAAGTTGGTTCAACTATTATTTTTGAATCAAACTATGTATGTTTTTGAATTACATCAGGTCATCATAACTTCATGAATACATTTTAGATTCACTTCACTCACTGAATGTAGGACGATGATTGTTCTGCTGTTGGTACGATGCACTGCTTTTTGAAAGCATATTTTTAGAGGAATTAAAATGTTTGCATGCACATTTTTGTTTGGTTTTTTAAGTTGGTTAACTATTATTGTGTACATTTTTAAACACTCCAGATTGTCATAACTTCATGAATACATTTTAGATTCACTTCACAAGTAGGTTGATGACTATTCTGTTATATTAATTGAATTGCATTTGAATGATAATTGTTATTATCATGATGCAATAGATAATACCTGGATATGCGCCAATAGAATCAATTATATGTGTAAATTTACCCAAACTGTCCTGAGAATGACATACTGTACAGTACTTAATGCATGTGATAACAAAGTTGTTCTCTGGGGACTTGAACCCAAAATAGAACCCATACACTTCACTGCAAGTAGGTAAGTGAGCGTTCAAATATTGAATGATAATTGTTATTATGGTTGTCAGGAAAATCAATTAAATATGCATCATCGATTATTTAGTTCCTATGCATGCCATGCAATAGGAACTATTGTAATCACTCTTCATTTTTCTTTGTTTTTTATTGTGTGTAGTATGCGACATTTATGCAAATGCGCATGCGTCAAAGAAAAGTTTTCTGACATTTTGTTTTACCTCGCGATGAGAATTTCGATGTGAATTTTCTGCAGAGTTCAGTCGGGGCTCACGATAACCATCGGCAAGTTGGCATGGATGAAACTATTTTGGTTTTACGGCAAAAAAAATCATCTGCTGTGGCATAGGTATTTGGAAGAAGGCCTAGAATAAAACAAAAAGGTTTTAATACTTGCTGAAATACATCGTTTTTTCATTTAGATCTCCATTAACTCCATGCGACGTTTTTTTTCTGTTGTATGAGTAGTCATATGGAGGTACTATATCCCCGACAGTTGGCTATGCAGCAATATACCCTTTGAATGCAAATCAAAGTGAAGATATAAAGGCAGCCGACTGTTGGGTACATAGCGACTGTCTAACTTTCCGCAAAAACATGAGGCCTAAAAGCTAGGCCTAGTTCAGTACAGTAGTTAATGCGATGCGAGTGTGGTAGATCGTTCAGTCAGTGATATCATGTTATCGTCTAATACATTTTAATAATGTGTAAAATTTAAGAATGCACCGCGTGGGTCGCTTTCTTTGTTATGCGGTAGTATACGTAGCAGAGTGACGGCAGCAATCTAAGCCTAGCCTAGGGCCTAGATAGTATACGTTCTTGATCATCGTAATGAAAACTTCGGGTGACAGACGATTGGGCCTAACTGGTGTGGACGATCGGACCCAAGATAGCATCGAATAAATTGTAGTCCTAGTAGGCCACTGCCA